GAGCACACCAAACTTTTTTGTTGCTAGTTTAGCCTTCCCTTTCAAGTAACTGAGGAACTGTACGTCTCTCGAAATGTTGACTCCAAGGATCCCTATGCTGGCTGAGACAACGAGGAGAGTGCCCTGAAATTGAAGAAATAACGACAAAGTGGTTTGTTTTTTGCGTTAAACGCGCAAACCTGTGTCTTTAGGGGTTAAACTGGTCTCTGCCGCAGGGGCAATATAGGGTGAACAGTGATCGGCCAATATCAGAACTGTTTCTACACACATGCCTGCCGTTCAGTGTGAGAGTGTACGTCTCGCATGACGCACGCGTTGAGAATGGCGCCGGTTTAAAGTCCACCTGGTGGTAAGTGGTTTCTGTGGCCCATAGGCATCTACATTTATCCTCGATTACGAATAAAAATGCAAATGCGTTGTCACCCCTGAGCACTAAGATAGGATGCATAGTTTCCAGTAAAATGTGTCTTCGGTCCTCTACAATCACCACATGAAACACAGTAGCGTTGAGCTGATATTCTGTGAGAGCGAGGTCTTTCCCCGGTTGAGCTGATCCACTCGTGCTACAAATATCCTACTAATATAGCTCACGCATGGCTCTACCACGTCGATAACCACCATATAGATCTTTTTAAGATCTCCTATCACCCACTCTACTCATATTCTGTTATAATTACCATAGGATATAGAAAATATTCTAAGCTCTTTATAATAATTCATAAAAATATGTATACATAGAGATGCAGGAAGTAGCAATGTTATCGATATGTAGCTATGGAAAGGGGTACGCTCGTAGTTTCTCTGCGTGATAAACTTAGAAATGAGGATATCCGCAGTAGACCCAAAGTGATCGACATAGCCTAACGGATTAGTAAGCTGAAGTGGCAATGGGCTGGCCATATAGCTCGAAGAAGAGGCAGCCTCGTACCGGTAGGCGAAGTGTAGGGCGACCCCCCACTAGATGGAGTGACGACCTGGTAAGACATGCAGGAAGTCAATGGATGCAGGTGGCTCAGGCCCGTGCTTTGTGGCATACCTTGGGGGAGGCCTATGTTCAGCAGTGGACTTGTGAAGGGCTGTAATGATGATGATGATCGTACCGATATTTTAAGAAAATATTAATATTTCGATATGTGGCCGTAGAAGGAAAAGGGGAGATTTCCCGCCAGGTAAGGTGTTCTGCCCGGGGAGCGGCCAAGGCTCCGTGTGATAATTTGGAGCTGTTCTATATATACTGTTTATGATTCGGAACTTTGATAGCGCGAGTTAGGCTTCGGTGTGTTTCGCTTGTGGCGCAACGACAGCGCCGCCACATCACCCTCCTGTTCAGATCAGAGGTCGATAGTGCAGTCCGATTACTGGTGCGTCCTTAATGACGGTGGGGAATGCATGATGTGTGCGTAAGGGCATGTGACACCGGTGCGAATGATATGCCGATGTATAATGCATACCGCGCTATGCACTGGCAAGTGATGCCGGTGAGAACGATGTGCCGGAGCCAGTGCCAGAAGTCTGCCTTATAAATCTGCGGTGAATCAAGATGAAGACAAGTTGGAGAACTGAACCTGCAGAAGACGATTCTCAGTAGTGAATGGTAGGGCTTCTTGAGGATAATGACGAAGGCTTGAAGTTGTAATTTCTGAAGGATGGTTGCGTGTTACGATCACGTCGGGTGGTTACCACTGTGGCCGCGCAGGAAAAGAGGAGATTTCCCGCCGGGCAAGGTATTCTGCCCGGGGAGCGGCTAACGCTCCGTGTGGTAGTTCGGAGTTGTTCTATATATATGTAATGTTTATGATTCGGAACTTTGATAGCACGATTTAGGTTTCGGTGTGTTTCGCTTGTGGTACGACGGCAGCGCCGCCACAGTTATATTGAAAAAAATATCAGTGAAATTTAAAAAAAAATATAGTTACTTCATGAATATTTGTTTGATTTTTTTAGTCTATAGCTCAAAAATATGTCAGTATTACTTTTCAGATATAATTTTTCAGTATTACAATACGATTCAGATGAGCCGTAGTAGCACAGGAGCTAAGCACTCGCTGTAAATTTCACAGGGCGTGAGCAACCCCTGACAGATTCACCTCCACCGGCAACAATTAAATTGTTAGTTGCAATTTTAAGTGCTGATTTACTACGTGCTCGACGGTGAAGGAAAATATCGTGAGGAAACCTGCATGTCTGATAAACAAGAAACAAAAATGTTTCGAAGACGTAAAGTTTGCCAATAGGTATTGGAGCATTGTGCTGGACATTTCTTTGCCCTAAAACCCTCTCAGGAATGAGAGGAGGCCTGTGCCCAGCAGTGGGTTGTATATAGACTCCAACAACTATTCAGATGAATACTAAACTAGAAATATCATTTCTAATAATCAAGTGACGGTAATGTTAAATCATAAGTTAATAAAACATTGGTAAAAATAATAATGCTTTTTAATCGATCGAAATAGAATATACAAATTATAAATGCACTTAATATGCAAACCAATACTTATTTGAAAAAACAAAATAAAAACTCTAAGGCTGTCGTTATTGGGTACGCTAAGATTAACAACAGATGCCACACTCTCTCTGATAAAACTGAGAATGAAATAGCAGTAGGTACAAAATACTTCACGCTATTTCTGAAAGGAATCTGGTGATGGTTTAGCTGTTAAATTAGAATTTTAATGGACTATCTGAATTCAGTTTTAGTCATTGGTGACAACATTGTTGCTATGGGAAGCATATCGTATTTGATACATTTCGATACTTGATATTTCATATCGATGTAACGAAAAAAATATCGATATGTCGATATTTTTTATAAAAGTTTATCTATGGTCTATGCATAAAATACATGAATCATGATCACGAAATGGCAGCTATGCAGCTGTTTAAAGTGTGCTCTGTTTTAAAATTAGTGAATTTTATAATATAATTTCCACATCTTAGCTTTCCTACTGAAATATAATCCAACTTGGCAGTAGGTCAAAGTATGTTGTAACCCTATTTACATTTATTATTTACCATAGTTATTACTTTTTCTTTACTTTTCTTTTTTTATAAAAAAAAAAAACAAATGCCACTCTATTCTCTGACATACTAATTTACAAAATTTTGTTTTGAAAGGCCATAGAATTATTGAAAGGCATAAAATATGATTATAGAATAATTTTATAGCACTCGATTGTCGAAGTAAGAGTTTTTTCAGTATTTGGTTATAAAAGTTCAATTCATTATTCTCTTCGATGTATTTTTTTTTAATTTACCCAGACCTCGAATTCACTTCATTCTAGGATTTAAAAAGTTATTTTGTCATTTTTTGTTCCCGCTGTTTTGGTGGGATTTTGAAAAATTTTATATTGAATTTGAATATATTGTAAATGTAAGTATGTTTTGCATTGCTTTTAAGGAATGTAGTTAAAGCTGTTTTATTATAAAATAAGTGACTTGTTTATGGTGATGACTAGGTATTTACATTTCACGAATGGTTTTTTGAACCTTTATTTTCACTAAAATAGTAATCACTTTGCCGCTATTATTGTAGAATTTATTTAACTAAGTTGTATTACAGTATTATCTACTTAATAGTATATTGACAGTAGGAATATGAGTTAATGAGTATACTTGTAACATCCTCTGGATGTCGTAAGTGGTGACAGAGAAATGTGGCAGGGGAAATGTGATATCAACCTCAACATAATATAAAACTGCTGTTACTATCCTGAGTATTGTATATATATGGTAAGGTACTGGCAGTAGACTTGAGGGGCTTGCAATTATTTACAAAAAATTAAAGTTCACAAAAAATGAAGTTCTGATCAGTTTTGACCATTATGAAAACAGTACCTTGGAAAGCACTCACTTCCTGTGTAGTGCAATTTTTCACATGAAAGATTAAATGCTGTGTTAGAGACGCAATTATTCAAGTAATGATTCATCATATGATCTGGATTATTTGGGTTTATCTGAATGGATCACTTATGGTTGTAGTACTATGTAAATTGTGAGATGAATTAATTTATGTAATTATTTCAAGAACATTGGAGCATGTGACATTTCTTAGTGCATTTAAAAGGGTCAAAAAAATTAGACTTTAAGCTAAGATATAGTGCATCAAAGTATTAGTTAAAGTTACAGCTTATACACGTTTCACAGCTGAGCAAAAGTCTCCTCTGGTCTTAGAGCAAGCAAATGTCTGCCGTGCTGTCCCGATGTGTGTTGGTGAAATTCACATACCTATCTTAGAAAATTTTTATTTTTTTTTCTTATATATGTAGGTTTCCTAAAGATTTTTTTTATTATTATTACTTAACAGGCTAGCAGTTGAATCAACTGATGTAAGCCCGTATCCTATTTTCAAATGTGTAATTATTCTTATTTTAGATGTTTATCTAATCTGTTCTTGAATTGGTTAATAGTTTGTGCTGATATTACTTCTGATGGCAGTTTGTTCCATGTTTCAACCACAATGTTTTCCTACATCGCCGAGCATGTGGTAAATCAGCACTAAAATTACCAAAGCAATTAACAATTTCATTGGTGCTGGCAGGGATCAAACCCGGGCGATAAGTATTACCTGCCTTCAAATATTATGTGGGATATATTTGATTATTTTTAGTTGGTTTTACTTTTTATTTAAAGTTTAACTTTTTGTGTCTCCTCTGCTCTAAGAGTATTAATATTTTAATAACTACTAGCGATCTCCCATTCATACTACAACCATAATAGTTGTAGCATAGCTCTACCATGTAAAAAATCTCAGAGTATTTATAGGCTTTTTTACTACTATTAAATGTGCTTAATAGTACAAAAAACTAACTTAGCTACTAACCCACTAGATGGTAACTAGTGATGTATCTGAAGATGGTAAAGCACTACATGGCCAAGTTGGGCTTAACAAAAGCCTATTCACTCGTACCTTAAAGCCACATTACTTAGTTTTAGGTTGACTTTGATATAAACTGGAAGAGTAATATTTTATTTTTATTATTGCAGACAGAATGTCAGCCAGAATGGTGAGGTCTGTGAATGTGGTGCCTTTGGTTAAAGTGAAGGTAATTTTTTATTCTAATTTAAAACTAGTGCTTAGCAAGTGCTGTGTGATGGGATGTTCTGTGGGATATTCAAAAAGATCTTATGGTTTCCTACAATATCTTAACCGTTACCAATTACAGTCAAACCTGGATAAGCGAGAGTTCAAGGGAGCACAATCTCATTCTCACTTATAGAGGTTTCTCACTAACCTGAGTTTCTCGCTAATGCAGGTACACGGGTAGCGTTTCTCTTTTATAGAGGTATGCAGCAATAACAAGTCTCAGCAAGTACGAATGTAGTAAATATATAATATGTAGTAAATGATAAAATTAGGTGAATTATATGCACAACATATATTATGTACTTATATATTTTTAATAGTGTGTATATGTTACATTCATTAGATTTCGACATATAAGTACTTTATAAGGGTATCTTTTGATTTTATAATTTTATAATAGGTGGATTCTGGTAAATAAAACTCCCTCTGAATTTCATTTCGCTATTTTCCGGATTCAAACGCATTCACTTATTTAAGTTTATTACTTAAATACAGTACTTTAATTTTCCGTTTTGACATGAGGCAGAACAGAACTTTCCTTCGTAATTGTTTAACTGTAAACTGACACTGTAAGTCCGACAAACAGGACAGTACACAGGCATACGTGTAATGAAATAGAATAGGTACAATATTGACGAGAAAACAATACAAAAACAATGGTAGGAAGTTCAACGAAAGTTAAGAATGAGTCATAAAATAGCTTATGCTAAATTTGTAATTTGTTTTGTCATTTGTTACTGTATGTGTGTATCTTTTATGTATGTATGTATTTTTATTGTAGCTATAGTTCCTCCTAAATAATATAAATAAATAAAGCTCGACTGTCGCTTATAGAGGTATAGATAAGTAGCAGTCTCTCTTACAGAGGTTTCTGTTTCTCGCTAATAGAGGTTTTGGGAGCAAAAAATGACGGGTCCTAGCTATTACTCTCACTTATAGAGTTTTCTCACTTATCCAGTTCTCACTTAACTCTCAATACACACTCAATAATCCTCTCAAACATAGGCCATAGTTGCTTGGCAAGCAGGTTGGCAGTGGCAGTTTTTTATTTTTAGCCTTTATTAGGAACATGCTACTGCTCACATCCTGATTTGTTTCCCTTTGTCCCTTGTTACATCACCCAAGCGATGAGAGAGGGTAGTGAATATTCTTACACTGCCACTACACAGTCTTGTCAATGTTGGATATAAATTACCCACACTGGCAATAGGTTGCAATTACAAAAGTACGAGACGTTTCGTGTTAATCAATTCTTAGGAGAGGCACATATCCAGAAGTGCACTTTTAAGGGCTGATGATGACTTTATGATCTTACAAAGTGATCTTTTGTAACGTAGGTGGAGTCATGCTGCAGCAATATTATGATTGCCGATCCTAGATATTTAGAAAATGAGTGAAAAGCTCACAATTTAAAAAGCATACAGATAGAGGTGGCATCATTGGATTTATATAACTGCGAGTAATAAGTTAACGATAAGTCTATACTTTGTATTATAACATATTTAGTGTTAAAAGACTGAAGGGAATTTTCCTCATTTTTAGCCAAATAATACGAAACAAATAATTCTAAATTGATTTTAATGGATATATGTTTTGACAAATTGTAAGTCTAGAAACAGTTTCGACGATTGGCGCATTAAAGCTCTAGCTTTACGTTACTCTCATCTGGGAAACTATGTTCTTAGCCCAGAAGTAGTGGAATTGCTTACAGCTAAGCAACTCCTTCTGTTCATTGAAGATATAGAGCTTAGAAGTGAACTATAGCCTATATAACTATAATTATATCGCAGTAATACTGGCCTTTCTAAACCTGCATAGCTGCTTGCCCAATTTAAAAAAGTAAGCCTTGTAGTGGTGGAGTAAGAAAATCCAATACCCCATTATGTTATCGTAAGAGGATCAGAGGGAAAGTGAAAAAGGAAATGAGCAGTTTCTTCCTGATTACAACTTAAAAAAGTGAAAAACTGCAGTTGCTAACAAGGCTGTCAAAGATGGCAACCATGGCAAATATCCCATTCTCTTATGAGCCAATCATAGGTTGACCTGTATTCAGCTGTTGACTTTTGAATGAATGATGAAAGGGTTCATGAGTGTGAGTGACTTAAGAAAATCCATCTTCCTATTTCTTCTCGTGGTTGGCATAAAAGTACGTCATTAAAATCTTTATATTAGACATAAAAAATCAATTGATGCTTTTTGTCACTTACCGGTTGAATATGTTTGAAAAGATTACCTTACAGTAAAGAAAATGAAGAGTAAATAAATAAATAAACAAATAAATGAAAATTCTCTTGCAGAGGGAAATACTTTCAGAAGATGAGGATGAGGACAAGGTTTCGTGCAAGTTATGTTGTAAGAACTTCGCAAGTGACATAGCCTTGAGGAACCATGCGCGGATGGAGCACATAGATGCGTTTGCTACGGGAGACCCATCTGTTTGGACAAACATACTTTCGGTGAGTTGTGAACTTAGCTTAATAAGTGGATACCAGAATTTCCCAGGGATGTTCTAGATCAGAGTTCCCCAAACTTTTTTGTGTCGTAGACCCCTTGCCATGTTTTTCCGTGTTGGGTAGACCCCTACTTACCTGATATTGATTTCGGTTAATATTTCCAATATGGACCATCGATTTCAAAGCCCATATTTTTTGTAGATAGTACTCAATAAAAGAAAGCGTTTTGCAAAGTTTTAGGTTGCGGAAACTTACGGTTCATGAGATATATTTTTTTAAACTTTTCATACAAATTGGAAAATAACACGCAATTACAAAATAAATTTGACAAATGATTGATGTCAAACGTCAATTAGTGTAGGGTTCCGAATATTTTGAAAGTATCGATACGTACTCGATACCAAGTATCGTATCAAAAGTATCAATACTACTTGGTATCGAGTACATTTCGTTAATTTTGGAGACTAGGGGGTAAGAAGCCGGGAAGTTGTGCTCCGGCGCTCCGTGGCAGCTCCGGCGCTGCGGGATGAGCAGTGCCTCCGCCCTAGCGTAGGGAAGCACAGGCAGCTGAGCTCGATCTCGGTGCCTGCGCTTCCCAACGGCGGGCGGGCACTGCTCTCCCTCCGCGCCTCCGGGTACACGGAGTACTCCGGGTACTCCGGGTACCGGGCAGACAAGACCACGTGGATAGTGGGTTGCTCTGATTCGGTTTTGGGTACTTTTTGGATATTAAATAAGTAAGTCAATAAGTAAGTAAACACTTTATTGTAGTAAGAATTAGATAATAAAGAAAGTTGCAAACAATAAAATAAAAGTACAAAAGCTGTACTAATTAAGAAATACAAACAAGTTGCTAACAATGAAATACAAGTACTAAGGTGGAACTTAAATAGAGTAAACTTTATATACATATATAATTGCACTTATCAGCTCTTCCTATGCATCTAATGGTTTGTCATAATTTTTCGTCTCCAAAATTAACGAAATGTACTCGATACCAAGTAGTATTGATACTTTTGATACGATACTTGGTATCGAGTAGGTATCGATACTTTCAAAATATTCGGAACCCTACACTAACTGACGTTACACATCAATCATTTGTCAAATTTATTTTGTAATTGCGTGTTATTTACAAATTTGTATGAAAAGTTTAAAAAAATATATCTCATGAACCGTAAGTTTCCGCAACCTAAAACTTTGCAAAACGCTTTCTTTCTTTTAGTGAGTACTATCTACAAAAAAAAAATATGGGCTTCGAAATCGATGGTCCATATTGGAAATATTACCCCCCCACATAAAGGAAATTAAAAATTTCCTCGCTATATTCCATAATACGGGATAAGTAATGGCTATGTTGTTTTGCAGACAGAATTGCTGATATCCGTTTTTAAACTGAACCTTAAGTTCTTGGTTTGTACTTAGTTCAGTCAGTCCCTCTTGTATTATGACATTCGTTTCTTCTATGCCACCATATGGATTAATTATCCACGGTGGTACTAAAATAGTCAAAATATCCTCAAACCTAGATTCAAAATCTGAATAGAGGGCATTTAAATGTTGAACGTAAGTTGAAACGTCATCTTCCGGGCAGCTTGTCTGTGACAAATTGGGGAACTGAGAAAATACGTCCCGTCCAATATTTTGCTTCATTAGTTTAACTCTGGCAAGAAACGCTGATAAGATGGACTTTGTTTTAATCAAATTTAAACTGTCGCCTTGTAATTGCAAATTAACCATATTAAATCTTGTAAACAAATCTGTTAAATAGGCGATGTCTGTTTTCCTCTTCATTAAATTTTCTTTTAAAATTTTATCTTTAGTATCCAGAAATTCTAAAATAGTCTCAAAAAGTGCAAAAAATCTTGTCAAACATAAGCCTTTCGACAGCCAGCGTACTTCAGTCTGAAGGAGTAATTGATGAAAGTGTTCGTCATTTTCTTCACACAACTGCGCAAATAACCGTGTATTCAACGCGTTGCTTCGGATTCGGTTTACTGCATCAATGACTAAATGAAGTGATTCATGCAATCTAACACTCAAATTTTTAGCAACTAAATGTTGTCGATGGATGACGCAATGTATTGCTAACACCCCTGACACATTTTGTTTTAAATAGCTTATAAATCCACGATAACGTCCAACCATGGCAGGTGCTCCATCTGTAGCTACTGATATTATATTTGATAAAGGAATTGCTTTTTCAATGAAGTAATCCTTCAAAACATGAAATATTGATTCACCTTTAGTGTCGGTTATCAAAGTTCTTGCGAAGAGCAGTTCTTCGTAGATTTCTTGATTCATAATAAAACGAACATATGCCAATAATAATGCTGCATTATCAGGTAAAGTTGACTCGTCCAGTTGTATAGAGAAATGGGTCATTTGCAAATAATTACATAAGAAGCTTTCAATATCAGAACTCATTTCATCAATACGTCTTTCAACAGTATTGTTGCCTAAGGAAATTCTTTTAATGGTATCAGATGCAGGTTTGTGTAAAACAGTTTTTAAAACCTCTTCAACGGCTGGCAAAATTAACTTCTCACCGATAGTATGCGGTTTTCCGGATTTTGCTATAAGTAACGAAATATTGTAAGACGCCCGCAAACCATCATCATTTCTTTGTGACGTCGAAGCGAACATTCTGTCCAGTGTAGGTCTCTTCTGAAGTTTATCTTTGAGTGTTTGAAAGTATTTCAAATCTTTCTCTGTTTTATCAGGGTGGCATCTTTTCAGATGATCTTGCAGTTTAGATGGTTTCGTAGCGTCATTGCCCAAAACTTTGTTGCATAAAAGGCACATAGCATAGCAATTGTTTGTTTAATCGACACTGTACTGTCTACATTTCTTTTTAGATTCGGACATGGTATCAGTCATTTGTGGGCAAAATTAAATTATTTAAATAAGACAGAAAATCCAGGAGCTGTATATTAAAAATATTTTTTGATTTTTCCGAAAACATTCCATAATTCGAACATCTTCTTGCAACAATTAGCTTGAATTACGGAGATTGCACTGTAATTATAATACCGATTGCTAAAACTTTCAAAAAGAAACTATTGAGGAGTACTCGTGTAATTTTGCATGATTGAATATTAAACTACTAATAACTAAAGTCATGATTGGCGTAATTTATCTATCTTTGCTAACTACGAGTACAAAACTAAAATTTAATAAAAAACAATGTACTTACTTTTCTCCAGCACTCTCAAACAAAATAACACTGACTCACTATAATTTGTGTGATATACTATCTGTTTATATTTTTTAAAATATTTTTTTAGCACTTTCCTTTTCAAGATTCAGGAAACGAATAAACGTATTTGTCCCACCTTCGTATTTATAGAGTGACGAATTGAACAAGTCAGTGCAAGGTAGCGAAGCTCTGAGACTGCGACTCTCAGGTTCAAATTGTATTGCGACCACAAAGCGAATACCAACATCCTACAACTTAAACAATTTTATAAACATATATAATAAATTTTTTACTTCATAGGTACTTTTATAAATAATGTATATGTTTTGATATTATAAGATAGTATGATGTAAGTAAATAGGTACTATCAGTGTGTGTTGAGATCCACTATCGTGGACCCCCATTTTCATTTCATGGACCCCCAAATCTTTTTCGCTGACGTAGACCCCTTGCAGGTTGTCATAGACCCCTAGGGGTCGATATAGACCACTTTGGGAATCACTGCTCTAGATTGAAGTTTATCATATGGGTAAAGGTATTAAAACCCTTAACTGACGAGCATGCATATATATATGAATATGAAATATGCGTGAGAGTTGTCAGGATCGTGCCAAATGGTAGTCTTATGTACACTTGAAATTATTTCTCAGTACTTACTACACACGCAAAATATTTCTTGTTTGGTACGTGCTAGAGTCATGCTGTAGATATATTATAGCTGTAACACGGATAGGTCGGCTCGACCTGGGTAGCAGAATACCAGCGTAAAATAGCATCTTCATTCTGTGTTTCGTATGGTGAATGTGAAAAAAATGTATTGGTTTTCACTATCGTTATTTTTTTATTTTCCCGAATTTCTTTACAGCCCAAAAGACCGTCAATAGATAAAGATGATCAGATAAGTGAGATTGAACGGAAAAAGAGGGAACTTATCGCCACCATGGGCCCCACCAACTTAATGTCACTGACATCGAAAGATGTCAGTTACATTATAGTGAAGTCTGAAGACTGCCCTGAGCCAGTTAAGAAGAAAAGGATGGATAAGATGGGGAAGGGAAAGAAAGAGAAACAGACGAAAGTTGTTATACCGAAGAAGGATAAAGAACCTCCGCCCATAACGTGAGTTTTCCACCTTGGTGACCATTCGCATTTCAGTCTATAAAATGTCCTTCAGACCGAATTTCGATCACTTCACCAACGAGGCAGTCAGCATATAATAAGTTACAACACTTATAATATTATTTTGTTTTATTTATTTACATTGCGTGATAATAGATAAATGTGGTATGCAAGATGATGTTGTGACCAGGATTAAGAAAGGAATGCTTCGGTGGTTTAGTCACGTAGAAAGAATGAATGAGGAAAGAGTGACAAAGCAAATTTATATGGCAGATGTGAATGGCCGAGTCGGGAAGGGACGCCCTAGGAAAAAGTTTATCGACCAAATTGGCGATATTTTGAAAATGGGCCACGTTAGAAGTACCCTTAACCGACGAGCATGTATGCGTAGATATATGGATGTAAAGGAGGCGAAAGAGGTATGTCAGGATCGTGCCAAATGGAAGTCCGTAGTCTCTGCCTACCCCTCTGGGTGACAGGCGTGAGTGTTTATGATGATATGATTATTTATTTACAAATATCATTGACATTGGAGCACATCATGACAACTACACCTCACATCTATCTTCAATCAGGATCAAAAATTAGGTTTTTGCAATTTGGCGTTGTTTCATTCTCCCCAAACCATCTGCACAGGACAGGATTGTAGTGCTCAAATGCATCCGCGAGCACAGGAGCACTCTCATTCACTCTCATAATCAGATGGGACGGTTATCCGACATGAACAGAGAGAGATTAGGTGCAGGACCAACGGCTTTACGTCTTTTCTCTGGCACGGGGTTCAGACACCACAAAATTATTGACTTTGGACAGCTATTGAGAACTTCTTGATAGAAATGATTGTAATACGAATGGGTCGCCTCGACCGGGGAAGGACCACACTCTCACAGATTACAAGTGTGAAATAGCGGCTTAATACTGCTGTGTTTAATATGGTCAGTAAAGAGTAAAGAACCGGAGACCCCTTTTTACTGGAAACAAGGTATTCCATCTTAGTCTTCAGGAGTGACAATACATCTGCATTTTGATTAACTGAGGAAAGATGTTGATGTCAACAGGCCACAGAAACTACTTACCATCAGGTGTAGTGTGTTTGGTTGTTACCCTTATTCTATAAAAAAATCGTCAGTTCGCCTCCAAGCGTGATGATGAAGGCAAATCCTTTCTACATCGAAATAGATCCATTTGCAGTAATAGACTTTTAGGCACTATAAAGAATTAAACACTAATTTATCGTTTACAGGGGTCCGTTTGAATGCCTCCAACCTTCTAACCAGATAGCGGATGGAATCTGTCACCAAATATTCTTCTCCTGTTGCGAGTATTCCATTCACTACAGAGACGAGCACACGAGGAGACGGAAAGGATTACGATGTCAAGTCTGCGAGAAACCACTTAACGCTGTAGATGAGAACCAGTCGTTATACAATTGTGAGGTGAGTGAATACTAAATATACAGGTTGTTGTAACTTTATCATACAATAAAGGTGGATAGGACTCCGTCCGTGTATTATGTGTCCTCTTAATGCTGCTGTGTTTCATATGTTGAGTATAGAGAACCGGAAACCCTTATTACTGGATATGAGGCATACATAGTTCTCAGGGGTGATAACGCATCTGAATTATGATTCTTAATTGAGGATAGATTTAGGTGTTTATAGGCCACAGCATCCACTCACATTAGATGGACTGTGTGCTCACTTGTTTACCGTAGACGAATTGAGTTATCTAGAGGTTTCGAACTTCAAAGAGGTGGGAAGATCGACGCGATGACAGAAAGTGACACCTATAAATATCTAGGCATCACCCAATCACTTCGAATCAATCACGGTGAAATTCGGTCGAAGATGATTGAAGTACACAATCAAAGGCTTAAAAGAATCCTCATCATCATCATCATCATCATTACAGCCCTTCACAAGTACACTGCTGAACATAGGCCTCCCCCAAGTAATGCCACAAAGCACGGTCCTGAGCCACCTGCATCCATCGACTTCCTGCATGTCTTACCAGGTCGTCACTCCATCTAGTGGGGGTCGCCCTACACTACGCCTACCGGTAGGCGTAGTGTAGGACGAGGCTGCCACTCGAGAACCTTTCTTCCCCATCGGTTATCGATTCTTCGAGCTATATGGTCGGCCCATTGCCACTTCCGCTTACTAATCCGTTGGGCTATGTCGGTCACTCTGGTTTTACTGCGGATATCCTCATTTCTGAGTCTATCACGCAGTGAAACTCCGAGCATAGCCCTCTCCATAGCTCGCTGAGCGACCTTGAGCGTCCTCATACGGCCAGCGGTGAAGGACCACGTCTCAGATCCGTAAGTCATCACTGGCAACACGCACTGGTTATACACTTTAGTTTTCAGAGATTGAGGTATACCTGACGAGAAGATGTGTCGTAATTTCCCGAACGCTGCCCAGCCGAGTTGAATCCGTCGATTGACCTCTCGGTCGAAGTTGGACTTACCTAGTCGGACTATTTGTCCCAGGTAAACGTACTCGTCAACAACTTCGAGCATAGTGCTCCCAACAACTACCGGCATAGGTGTGACATGGACATTAAACATGATCTTTGTTTTATCCATGTTCATCTTAAGACCTATCCGTTGGGAGACACCATTGAGGTCACTGAGCATAGTGCTAAGGTCCTCCAGCGATTCTGCCATAAGGACTATATCGTCGGCAAATCGAAGGTGAGTGATGTACTCGCCATTGATGTTAATACCGTATTCTTTCCAGTCCAGTAGCTTGAAAACGTCTTCCAACGCAGCGGTGAAGAGTTTCGGGGATATAACATCACCCTGTCTTACACCTCTCTGCAGTTGGATAGGTTTCGTACTCTGGTTCTGTACTCGGATAGCCATCGTAGCCCTACTGTACAAACACTTCAGCACTTCAATATACCGACAGTCAACTAGGCACCGCTGAAGAGACTGTAGCACCGCCCAAATTTCGACGGAATCAAAGGCTTTCTCATAGTCCACATACGCCAGGCAAAGTGGCAGATTGTACTCTTCGGACTTCTGTAAAATTTGCCGAAGGGTATATATGTGGTCTACGGTACTGAAGCCTTTTCGGAAACCGTCTTGTTCGGGAGGCTGGAAGTCGTCGAGTCTGCGTGCGAGACGATTCGTAATGACTCTCGAAAACAGCACGTAGACGCGGCTCAGAAGGGAAATCGGTCTGTAGTTCTTCAAGAGAGCGTTGTCGCCTTTCTTAAGGAACAAGACCACCGCGCTTCTGCTCCACGCCTCCGGAGTATTGCCACCATGGAGGACGGAATTGAAGAGCTTCTGAAGGACTTCAAGTACCGGTGTTCCACCCGCTTTCAGAAGCTCCGCTGTAATTCCATCCTCGCCCGGGGCCTTGCCGTTTTTAAGGTGGCGGAGAGCCATTCTAATCTCGCTCAGACTGACGTTCGGGATATCATCGGAATAGTGTCGGATAAGACTTGCTCTTGGATCGTTACTCACACTTACGTGTGGCTCCAACGATGATGTGTACAGCTGCCCATAGAACCTCTCAATCTCACTCAGAATCTCAGGTGTCCCGGAAACGATGTTGCCACACTTAGTCTTCAGCCTTGACAGTTGGCTCTTTCTGGCAGACAGATCTCTGGCAAAGACTTTGGAGCCCTGGTTCCGCTCGATCGCTTCTTTAATACGAGCAGTATTAAAGTTGCGTAAAAAAAAAGAATCCTCAGTTCAGGCCTAAATGGACGCAACTTCACTAAAGCAATTAACACCTTTGCCATCCCAGTATTAACTTACACGTTCGGAGTAGTTAAATGGTCGGATACTGAACTGGAGAAAATTGAGAGGTCTACTTGCGTCATGCTTACTAAATATCTTATACATCGCCCAAAATCAGCCCTTGAGCGGGTAACTCTATCTCTATCTCGAGCGGTAGTGGACTGATAGATATTCGTAGATTGTGTGCTAAGCAGATTCAGAGTTTTCGAAGTTATTTCCTTTCGCAAACGTCGTCTCCCCTGTATCAAGCAGTAATAAAGGCTGATGACCGTCTAACAAAGCTCGATCTCCTTCATGCCGACAATTTCCCACCGTTAGAGCCTGACGCTGAATACAAAGAAGCCAAACTCCAGCAATGGGCCTCGGAACCTCTTCACGGTCGATTCGCTAATGAACTGAGTCAACCACATGTCGACATTGAAGCGTCGAACAACTGGCTCAGACATGGAGAGATCTTTGCTGAAACTGAGGAATCCATGGTGGCGATTCAGGATCATGTAGTGCCTACGAAAAAATTATCTTAAGTACATTGTCAAAGACAGGTATCGAAGATGACCAGTGACGACGGTGTCATCAAAAGCCAGAGAACATTCAAGCATATAACTGGCGGCTGCCAGGCTCTTGCTGGAATCGAGTACACCCAGCGCCATGACAACGTGGCAAAAATTGTGCACCGAGAGCTGGCAGTAAGGCACAGTCTCCTTAAGAAGACAGAACCGTACTGGAAATACAATCCATCCCCGATACTCGAGAATGATTCGGCCCAACTTTATTGGGACAGGTCAGTTTTAACTGACCGGACCGTTGAGCATAATCGACCGGACATAATATTAGTAGAAAAGGAGGAGAAGCGGACGTGGTTGTTGGATATTGGCATTCCAAACTCGCATAATGTGCAGAAGTACAGCACTGAAAAGTTGATTAAGTACCAGCGGTTAGCTGAAGAAATCCGACAGTTAAGGCGACAGCAGCAGTTACTTATCGTCCCGCTGATTCTCTCTACCACGGGAGTTGTTCCTAAATGCCTTACTGACAATTTAGCTAAGCTGGACATCTCAGTGATGGTGAGGAACAAAATTCAAAAAGCCGTAATTTTGGATACGACAGCGATAGTATGTCGCCACCTCACAAATTAAACAAAAGAGCGGGATCTTGCGATCAGCCGATGCCGCGTCTTAAACCCTATAAGGAGCGTTAATGGAGTTAAATAATAATAATAATAATGTCCTCCAGACCGATTTCGGCCACGGCGGCCTGCTTCAACGGAGACTAGCCATCGGCGCAGGACAGGATTATAGTGCCCAAGTGTATGCGTAAGCACAGGTGCACTCTTTCTTTTCCCTCACGCTCATAATCCGATGGGACGGTAAACCGACACGACCGGAGGAGATCAGGCGCAGGACCAACGGCTTTACGTGCTTTCCGAGGCACGGGGGTGACTATGGGCAACTACTAAGAATTTCTTGACGGAAAAACTCAATAATTGATTTTTTGGCCCGACCCGGGATTCGAACCCAGGACCTCATGATCAACAGTTGCACTACTACAACCACTAGACCAACGAGGCATCAAAACTGTATAGTAGACTGATGGCATTCCATCTAAGTCCTCAGAGGCGACTGTGCATCTGTAGCCGTGTTTGTTTGGAGTTAGATGCAAGTGTCCATAGGCTGTTTTTCACCTGTTTGTCACTTCAGTAGTAAAAAAAAAATTGGTTGACCCTGCAGGCCATTCCTGGAACTTCCTGGTAATTTCAAATGCAAAGCGCTCCAAATTTTACCCAATTATGGCGCGGAATCTCGAAGTTATGTTAAAAAAAACCGTTTTTTTTCTCAAATTCTTTCTCCTTCGATATGTCACGAACGAATGAAATGATTTTTATATTACAAACAAAAAAATATATTTTTGAGATTTCTCAAAATATACTCGTCCGAATCAGTTCATATTATCACCAAATCTATTCCACATTGAGATCTTTAGAACGCCGCAAACCGCATCTCAATCGATCAAGACGTTCAAAAGTTATGAAAGGTTTACATACTTACACACACACACACACACACACCACACACACACACATGCACACACACACACACACACACACACACACACACGCACACACGCACACACACACACACACACGCACACACCACAGCACACACACACACACATACATCCATCCATACGGACGTCCACGTGAAATTAGTCAGAATAACTTCCTGGAATCTCAAAACGTCGAGATCTGATGAAAACTCGATTTTCGAAAATCGGGGTATTACCAATAACTTCCCTATTTTTGAAAATTTTAAATTTTTTTAGCGGGAAGTTAAAAATATTGTTATAGTTCGTGCCAAATCGATTGAGAAACACGGACAATGACCTCAGATATGAGCCGAGTGTCAAAAGGCGTAACTTATAAAATCTCAATTTAGATGTGATAACAATATTTAAATATTGATATTATTCACACTTCTAGGTCAGCACACATGTTTTGCTTTTTTTTTTGTTTCTTAAATAATATTGTCTGTGGTTACTATAAACATCGTAAAATCTTACGGTACATCGCGAAAAATGTGTTATATTTCAATTTATGTTAAGTAACGCAGCAATTAATTTAATAACAGTCTCATATTAAAAAAAATATTTGAAGCAATATAATCACCATATTGAGCTTTTGCAAATTCATCCCTTTAAAATATATAAAACGCGCGTTACGTCAGTTCTTTCTAAAAGAAACGTGACAATGGCAGCCAGAGATGCGTCACTTTTTTTGGGCCGGCCCGCATGCACAGAATAAAAATAAAGTTCTTATATAATATTGAAAATAAAGTTCTATCTTTTGAATAAGTACATACTTATTCGGTGTCGTTATCACTCGAATCTTTATATGTGTTATAAATTAATGCTTTCTGTTGTTAAATGAATAAAGTACTTTATAACAATAGATGAATTTTCTTCTACAGCGATCTTTTTCATAACTTTTTAATAATAGTTAATAAATATATATTATATCAATCATTATAAAAAATAAAAAATCCTTATAAATAAAGAAAGTAATGCGGGAAATAGAGTAAATGGGGCCCTGCACTCTATTGTGAAGAGTCAAAATGTGTCGAAAAAGGCACGTATGGCAATTCACAATGCTGTGTTGGTCCCTACTTTAACGTATGGTAGTGAAAGTTGGGTGTGGCAGAAGAAGCACGAGAGTAGAATGAACGCAGTAGAAATGCGGTCGTTAAGGAGTATGTTAGGGCTGAATCTTAATGACAGGGTAAGAAATTGTGTAATAAGAGAAGAGTGTGGTTTGCAAGATGATGTTGTGACCAGGATTAAGAAAGGAATGCTTCGGTGGTTTGGTCATGTGGAAAGAATGAATGAGGAAAGAGTGACAAAGAAAATTTATGTTGCAGAAGTGAATGGCAGAGTCGGAAAGGGACGTCCTAGGCGAAAATTTATCGATCAAATTGGCGATTTATTGAAAACGGGCCAAATTTGGAGTACCCTTAACCGACGAGCATGTATGCGGAGGTGTATGGATGTGAAGGAGGCGAGAGAGGTGTCAGGATCGTGCCAAATGGAAGTCTGTAGTCTCTGCCTACGCCTCTGGGCTCTGGGTGACAGGCGTGAGTGTTTATGTATGTATGTAAAGAAAGTACTACATATAAAAAGTGCCTATATATTGAAGGTTTGTAGCCCCTGGTTAAACGACCGAAAGGTCAATGTCCGTTTTTCTCAATTGATTTGGCACGAACTATAATATCTTGGTGATTACTAGTTTGATTAAGAGATAGATTAGGGATGTCGATCTTTCCGAAAAAGATCAATTTCTAAATCCATTCGAATCGAAATCTGGTGAATCGATTCAGAAAATATCTAAATCTTTTTTCGATTTGTTTTCAGATCCGTACAAAGTACAGATTACAAAGACTTAACCTATTTTTTATTTCTTTAATCCATTAAGAAGACGCGAAATAAATTAATAACACGTAGTTTTTCTAGTTTTCGAATAGAAAAACTGTCGTTCTTTTCGAGTTTGGGTACAGACAATTAATTGTAAATAATTTTATAGTTCAGAAATCAGAAAAATATTCGATCTCGGTTTTCTAGGGTGAAATATCGAATCAGTACTATATATCGACTAAAAACTCGATCTTTTTGGCACAAGAAATCGATTCTTCGATTAATCAATCTTATATCGACATGCCTAAGATAGATACAAAGATAAATATTTATCCTTGATAGATAATTGCTGTTCGAAGGACCAGAAAGAATGACGAATAATTACAAATACTAAATAAATTGGTTATTTATATTGATAATGATTATGATATATTTCTGATATGAAAGACTATGACGCGATGGTTATAAGACATAAAGCATTATTAACAAACCGCTCACTTCAGTTTCTTTTTTTGTTGTCTTGATGTTGTTGTGAGGTACTCCACCAAGCAGCCTTGAAAAATGTGTAGATACGGCCAATGCGTTGTCTTTTGTATATGAGATATAGAAATGCTAAACAATTAACACAGGACTTCACTATGCGATTTATTACGAACTATTGGCTGGCTGGCCCGAAAAAAACACGGAATGGCGGCCGTACTGCTTCTTACGAACGCGTTAACTGACCAAAGAAGCGATTGAGATGTCTCCTGCTCAATCTATAAAGTAACTTTACAGACAATGCAACTGCTAAATGTCACCTATGACAAGCGCGAACAATTGCATTTAAATAAAAAAAAGAGTCAGCTATGGCATATATGCGTGAGCCCCCATGAGCGATTTGTGGGGGGGACCTATGTTCAGGATTACTTATCATGTGAAACCTGGTTCATGTACTTTGAAATTTTCATTGAGCACTTGGCTATTGAGCTGAGCAGCTCCAAATGTGTAATATTCGCGTAAATGTAAGAATTTATTGTGTATTGTTTCAGATTTGCGGAGCCGGCTTCCAAACTAGCAAAGAGCTATCGGATCACAGATCAGTTGCTCATGTTAAACTAAAGCCATTCAAGTGCAAGATATGCCACAAGCGATTCACACAGCAAGGCGGCTTGCAGCAACACATTCGTATGCACACAGGCTACCGTCCCTACTACTGCACGGTCTGTTCCAAAACCTTCACTCAGAAGTCGGGACTGGACCAGCACACCAGGACTCACACCAAAGTTAGACCATACCGCTGTATAATATGCAGCAAAACTTTTTGCCAATCGGTCCATCTGAAGCAACACATGCGGACTCACACCAACGTGTCCCCCTTCCAGTGCGGGATATGTGAAAAGCGTTTTAAACAAAGCAGTCATCTGAACTACCATCTGAAATACCACAACCCGGCAACAATGACGGAGGAGCAGAAAATGAAATATGTGGAATTAGTCGGTTTAATTGGAAAAAACGAATCGGAGCAGAATTACTCTGAACAAAACGAATCTGAAATTGTTGCAGAGATAGTGGAATGTCAACCAGAGTTAGAACAATCGTCGCAAATTCAAGTTGAAGTGGCAACTGAATATGTTTTGAATGAATGCGAAACTCAAGACAATGAGACGTGGTGTGTTACTTTAGCGTAAAAGTGTAAAAACAAATGTGATCTCTTGTGTATTGACAATGTTAAATTATTAGGAAAAGTGAATTTTACTTGGCTTAAACCTGAAGTGTGGCCACACCTAGGCTATACTTAATTTGTAATTGTGGTGATTATGTGAGTGTATACTTAATATGATGGTGGTATGAGCGTGGTGGGTGTTAAAATCAGCAAGCACCATGATCTCTGCGGATGTGACCTGTTGTAGCATGGAGTCTGCAAGCATTTGGATGTGGTCAATGAGTCCATTTGCGTCAGCATTACCGCTATGGGACCTATAGAGACACCCGTAGAGCGGAGATACTGAATTCAGCTGATTATGGTTGGTTAAACTTTAGGTGTATTGTATTTATTCATTGTACATACAGTAACTGGCAAAAGAAAATTAGCCCAGAATTCCTAAGTTTACTTAAAATTACTCATGCTTTTGGTTAATGCCTGCAAATCTATTTACTCGACTCTTTGGGTGAAGTTTTATTCAATATTCAATACTTGTAATTCTTGTTGAAAATCATTTTTTACTTTACTCATATATACTATGTTTATTTAAAATGCAACTATGTAGTGGTAATGAATTTCAAAGTTGGTTTGCTTGCAAAGTAAATGACTTATAAAATGAAGTAATAGTAGTATAGTTAATATGACATACAAACAAGTAAATTGAATGAACTGTATTAAATAAATTTACATTTATTGCACACTATACAATGCATAATGCTGCACAATAGCTGCGGTTACAAGTTAGCATATTCAAGCAAGTATGTTCATCAAAGTGAAGCATGGTTTAAACGAAGCCAGTGCTGGCTTGTTATTGGCCTCGTATAAACAGTTTTCAAGACAAGCCAGCGCTGGCTGCCAGCACTGGCGGGAATAGAGCGCCTGTCTATTTTTCAAGCCAGTGAGCCAGTGACCTCCGCCCGCGTGCCCCGCAACCCCCGTACCAGCGTGAGGACGCGTGTAGACGCATCGCGCCAGGTGCTGGCGCTTATCCGTAGATTGTTGACGCGTTTTGTTTTTGTAATAAGTATTTTCCGCGATGGCAAGAAAATTGAATGAGGATGAAACATTAAAATTTGTTCAGCTTTATAGAGAGCACGAATGTGTTTTGAATTGTGGGATAAGAGGTGCGATGCTTACAAAAATAGGCTAATGCGGGCTTCGGCAATAGAAGCCCTGCGTGATGGAATGAATAAAAGACTGACTACCGATGAAGTGAAAGCAAAAATTAATAGTATTCGAAATACTTACTATTTGGAAATCGATAAAATCGAAAAATCTACAAGATCTGGGGCCGGTGGGCACATTTACAAGCCAAAGATAATATGGTTTGATGAATATGATTCATTTGTGAAGCCTGTTACAGTGAGAAGAACAACTGTAAGTAAATATCATTTATTGTTTACTTTAGATCAACATTCATTACATTACGACTACAAAAGTTAAGTGAAGCTAGTTATCTTCGCACACAGTTTTATAATATGTTTGTGCGCTCTGCTAGTTTGAGTATTGACATTGCATATAAAATTATGTTTGTTCTTTTTACTTAACTATGCCTGATAAATTTACTTAATTTAGTGGAGTACAGCTCGCGTCAATCTTTTTGGCGGCTCTATACCCGAAGCTAACTTCCTAGCCGCCAAAAAGTTTGACGCGGCCTGTATCAAAAAATCTAATTAGTTGGATTTGATTGAAATCGGATTTATTTTATTTTATATTATATTAGTTCAAGGATAATATTGTTAATGTATACTACCTAATTGCCAAGGAACACTTTCTTCGTTCATAAACATATTTTTATAAAGTTCTCTCTTCTCTCGTGCAATTTCTGCTGAACGACTGCTACCTTGATTAGCAATACTCTCCAGGACGTGTATTGGGCTCCTCCATGAACCTGGCTGAACATTTCCCTCTTGATCTTCCCTATATACAAAAGTTGTAGTGATGTACGAAGTTGATCTTTTTCGTAGCCAATTATGAAGGGCACAACAAGCACAAACGATTGCATCTGCTGTTTCCAACTTAGTTTATATTGGTTTACATAATGATTTCTTATATTTACGCGAACACTACACATTGAAATAATACTAGTTTTTACGGAATTTATCGCGTATATTTAACTTTTTAAATACCCGACGTTTCGAGAGCTTTACAGCACCCATGATCACGGGAAGGACTGAGATGTTCAAAGTCCAGATGTCATAGTTAACCGCGGTTACCATAGATTAAAATTTAACTTTTGTTCCGATCTACACAGTATGAATTTATGGTATCATGAAGTCTTGCAGTTGTATGCTTGGGTTGGGATTTAATTTTATTTATTATGGGATCCCAAGCAGATGGTAGCACCCAGCCATCTTCTCTATTGAAATTAGGATGTTTTTTGATTTCAATAGCCTCGCGAATCATCCTTGGAAGGAATCGGTGTTCTTTAGCGAGGATTTGCGGTCTATCAAATCTGATGTAGTGACGGGGGCGATCCTGTACGTGTTCACAGACTGCAGACTTCCCGGAGCGTGAGATGTGAAGAATCGACGCTAAAGTATAACAGTACGCGTACATCACTGATTATATTACAAATAGCTTTTAGTGTTAAATTATTTATTTATTCATTTAGCCAGTACAACATAACTACATATACATAAGGGGAAATCCCATCTTGTTTTAAACCAGTTTCGATTATTTTCCATTCTCCTGCATTAGGCACCTGTAAAAAGAGGCAATTAAATTACTTTTTCTTTTGTTTAACTACAGGATAACACAGAAGACTCACATAGCGTCTCTTCACATATCTCAACACACGAACAAGGATCATCGTCGGTTAATACACCGCGCTCGGACAATGGGGTAGAAAATGAATCAGAGACACCACAAGATGTACGAACAAGATACACCACAATTCACTCCAGCCATAAAAAAAACTAAGCGGGGCAAATTATCCCAGTTATCTGACATGATAAAAGATCTGACAAACATTAATAACGAAAACACAAACACATCCATATGCAGCGAAGAAACAGATCTGGATATATTTGGAAAAAGCGTCTTGGCACAAATGAAAAAATTATCAGAGGAACATTCAGTCATTGCAGATATACGAGCCAGAAATGCATTGCCTTTGCGTATTCCACAATTTTCTCAATCAATTCAGCAATCTCAAAATATGTCATCTATTCATTGGAACCCATCTCAAACCGATCTTCCTCCTATGCAAAGTCCAAAAGATGCTACAAGTTCTTCCACGAGTTTCCAGTACAGCGATGATATATATACTGTTTTTTCCCCTGTGACTTTAAGTAATAACGATAGTCACAGCGAAAGCGTCATACAATTTGCTTTCAATAATGCATAAAATTAATTGTTTGTTGGATTTTAATACAGTAATGTACCTATTTTATTTAATAAAATAAATAAATAAACACACTTCAATAAATTGTTTTAATGATTCATAAATTGTTCGCCAAACTTCTGGTATAAATATTGATATAGAAGGTTTGGAGACACGGAAACCAGCTTCGGTAACTCATTCCAGTAGTAAAAATGACAATGTTACTTCTAGCTTTATTTTTGCTGGTAATGCATCTCTCATTAAAGTATCTTTACGCTGAATCGAGCTATGTATAAGTGATAGTAACTCATCAAAGTTTTCAGTCGTAATTCGCAGTGCCAATCTGTACTCGGAAGGATCTTCTAATCTTAGTTGTTCTAGCAACAAAGCGGAAGCTCCAGTTACAGATCTATCGCTTAGCCATTTTTTCATCCAAAATCTTTTATTTTTTACGATTTCTTCCTCTAATATATTGATCAACTCTTCTCTTAATAGTGCAGAGATATTCTTTATACATTTCTTTTTTAACCGCCGTCGCAGTTGTCCCGAATTCATATTTTTAAATCACAAAACGTGTGCGCACCACAAGAATAATCCAGGAATGAAATGAATCCATTGGCCTCATCTAAACAACACGGGCCAGGCCAGCGCTGGCTTGTCTGAGAACTGGCGCCAGCGTTACTGGCTACGTCTAAACGTTGCTTAACACGTTAACTGTCCGTGCACTATATGTAGTGCACTGTGAAGTTAGCCATGGCGTCCGTGCACTATATGTAGGGCACCACTCCGTTCAAACTTAATGTGATTTTTTGAATTGGACGTGAGAACTACACTACTGAATTTAAGATGGACGTGTGGATTAGGAACTGTGTAAAAAGAACCGCGAAGGAGACATTATGGGAATTTCTTAATAATGTATGCGGGAGTTGAGGTAAATGTGGCTAATAAAATATTAAAGCAAACAAGTGGTACTAATCATAAATATTTATGCTTTATTGAAAAATCAGTAACTAAAACAAACATTACTTATTAAATTATAATAAAACATTTTTCACATATTTTCAGTGGCATTCGTTGAAACACGGCAAGCAGAAGCCTCTTTTACAAGCAATGCATTCGGTAACAACCTTTGGTGTCTTTCTCCTTGCTTCATTTACCGTGTTTCCACTTTCCTTCAGTTTTTGATAGCAGCCCGCGCATCATTATTGATGTGTCTTTCCTCGGGAATTGTTTGGTATACGTGTGATGTTGTGACGCGTCGTAACGATGAGAGAACTTGCATTTGGTCTGACGTTTTCAATAATAAGTAGTTTTTTTTTGTTATACATTCATTACCCTGCAGCAGTGTAATTTTTTCGTTGGATGGATACAATTGATTGTAAATTACAATGGCGTTGACCACGCATGTAGCCAAAAGATCCGCCGCTATTTTTTGTACTATATACATGATTTTCGAACAGGCGAATTATAGCTTGCGAGCTGGTCAGCAATATCAATATCAATTCCCTTCTTGCCTTCGTTGTAAGTTAGTACCATTTTTGCCTTCAAAACTGGGCGAAACCCTTTTGACATTTGCATCTCGTGGGTCTGACACGTTGACAAAGTCAGAACATCGCGTTTGTCATGAAATTTTAGGACAGTCACACATTCGTGAAATAGAGTAAATGGGGCCCTGCACTCTATTGTGAAGAGTCAAAATGTGTTGAAAAAGTTGTGGCAATTCACAATGCTGTGTTGGTCCCTACTTTAACGTATGGTAGTGAAAGTTGGGTGTGGCAGAAGAAGCACGAGAGTAGAATGAACTCAGTAGAAATGCGGTCGTTAAGGAGTATGTTAGGGCTGAATCTTAATGACAGAGTAAGAAATTGTGTAATAAGAGAAGAGTGTGGTTTGCAAGATGATGATGTGACCAGGATTAAAAAAGGAATGCTTCGGTGGTTTGGTCATGTGGAAAGAATGAATGAGGAAAGAGTGATAAAGAAAATTTATGTTGCATAAGTGAATGGCAGAGTCGGAAAGGGACGTCCTAGGTGAAAATTTATCGACCAAATTGGCGATTAATTGAAAACGGGCCAAATTAGGAGTACCCTTAACCGACGAGCATGTATGCGGAGGTGTATGAATGTGAAGGAGGCGAGAGAGGTGTGTCAGGATCGTGCCAAATGGAAGTCTGTAGTCTCTGCCTACCCCTCTGGGTGACAGGCATAAGTGTTTATGTTATGTTATGTCACACATTCGTTTTGTTGCGCAGCTATTTGACCTTTTTCAAGTTTCTGTTGAATTACTTGTGGTGGAAGTTCACGCCTCGCTTTACGGACTGTGCCACAGAAATCAGTTTTGCGTTCCTTGAGATATCTCGCCAAAGGTATACTGGTGTAGTAATTATCAGCAATAAGGATCCTGCCCTCATCCAGTAACAGTTCAGCCAGAGACACCACAACTGTACCTGGTTTGTCTAAACCAGGCAATTGGTGTGACCGTCCATCATTTTTTTTTATAGAATAGACTGACAAACGAGCACACAGTCCACCTGATGGTAAGTGGTTGCTGCGGCCCATAGACATCTACATCTATCTTCCATTACAAATCAAAATGCCTGTGCGTTGTCACCCGTGAGGACTGAGATGGAATGCCTCATTTCCAGTAAAAAGGGTCTCCGGTTCTCTACACTCACCATACGAAATACAGCAGCATTAAGCTACTATTTCACGCTGGTATTCTGTGAGAGCGTGGTCCTTCCCCGGTCGAGCCGACCCATTCGTGCTACAACTATACTACTAATATAACTGCAGCATGGCTCTACCACGTAAAAATCATATATAGAGTAACTCCATGTAAATCCATTAGAACAGCACAACTTGTATATTTTTATGCCATATTTGTGGGCTTTTTGGGGATTATAAGTGCGAAACGAAAGTCTTCCTTGGAAACCGACCATCGATTCATCCACAGCGATTGTTTCGCCAGCAGTGTATAGGCTTCGCGAGTTATTTATGAGCTTATTTATTAGCGGCTGTATTTTGTACAGCCTGTCATCTATATTATGAACTTCATTGTTAGAAAAGTGCCAACACCTTAGTATTAGAGAAAATCGATTGTAAGACATTTTCATGTCACGGAGGAGTGAATGATAGTATAGTGGATCGTTTTTCCAATAAGATTCAATGGAAGGGAAGTTCAGAAGTCCGGAAAGCAAATATATGCCCACAAACTTTCTCATTTCCTCCGAAGTAACAGGTTTCCATCTATTTATACGACTAGACGGCTTATTATTACGATTAATTATCATTTGAGAACCATAACGATTTGTTTCTTCGATCATCAATTGATTAACATCTTCATTGTAAATATGAGAAAAAATAGTCCATAGGTCTGTATTTTCAGAAAATAGCCGTACATGACGTTTCCCATTAGCATAACCCGTAAATTCTTCTCTTGGCAAATCTTGTATATTATTTTGCCAAGTCGTAGGCAATACTTGAGCCGGAGTGGGACTAACAGATCTCTGGACCGACATCTCAGGGGGTTGGATAGAGTTAGAATTAATTTCGGAAAAATCTGTCGAATCCTCAACTGAAATGTTACCTGGATAGGTGTTCTCAATAAATTGTCTGATGGTAAATACATTTTCTTCGAAAGGCAGGAGCCGGAGTGTCCAATAAAGCGTCTTCATCTGCGTCTTCTACAGCAGGTTCGATTCCTTGCATAAAATTATCTTCTTCATCACTGTTTTCCAATATACGGAGCATATCTTCCTCACTCAGACATTTACTTCGTGACATTTTATATATAAAGCCAAAAATGTACCAAAACCACACAAAAACACTATTTTACGCGTAAAACAGTTTGTTTAGCCGTTACTCGTTATGAAACTTTGACGATGTAATAATATTTTGACAGTAGAACATTTTAACAGATGTCAGTTAAGTTTGACATTTCCTTGTCTATGCCCCTCCCCCACGCATAGAAAATACAATAAATACAAGTGCCATATAAATAGTGCACTAAAAGTTAGTTGCAGAGACCGTGCACTACATATAGTGCATAAAACTTAAGCTGAGAAGTCTGTGCACTACATATAGTGCATAAAACTTAAGCTGAGAAGTCTGTGCACTACATAGAGTGCATAAAAATTAAGCTGAGAAGTCCGTGCACTACATATAGGGCATGCGGAAATTCAGCCTGTAATACACTTTCAAGAACCCTGGAGGTAGTTACGCTATCACAAGTAGCTATTTGCATAATCTTTATCTATTTAATCTAAAAAAAAGCGTGGACGTAGACTGTCAGACAGTCACTTGACCAAATCACAGTGGACAGCTAACGTGTTAATATAAGAAAGGAAGGAAGTAGGAATAATTTTTTTTGTTATGTATGTTGCTACATAACAAAAAAAATATTCTGTTATGTGTAAAAGTAACACTACAAGTAGTGTAATTTTATTTATGAATTATATAAATATCTTACCTACTGTCGCTCATATTACTTAATACATGATTTCGTATTTTGACAAAGTAACAGTGGTCATAGCTATTTTAATTATAATAAGGACTTTTTTAGTCCTAGTTGTATTCAAAAGGATCAAGTCAAATCTAGTTTAACCAGGAACACTTTCTTGTATTATCAATTTCACAACAAGCAGTATTTGTGTCCCAAATAAACCTTTTTGCATGTAACATGTCATTGGCGAATTCATCGTAGCCGCCATAAAGGAAGAAGAAAAAGAAGACTTAAAATTTTTTTAAGAAGAAGAAGAGTTTGTCCTAGTAAAGGAACGAGCCAAATCTAGTTTAACCATGAGTAAATCAAATACACCTAAGTTTAACACAATCATTTATACCTTAGACCATTTGCATGGTCTGAAGACCCACACTTCAGTTTTAAGCTGTGACATATACAAAACTACAGTGGCTATATTTTTGTTTGTAGAACTCTTGTTGTATAGAACATATGAAGTAATTTATTATAGTAGCTAAATTTCTGGACAAGCGCCGGGTTATATGAAAACAACTGTGCAATAGATTTATAGTCTGTTCATTAAAATACCGTCGCCTTTGTATAGCGCCACTTTCGCATGTGCCGCATTTTGTCAAAGGTACACCCGCACGAGAATTTGGCATTTTTAAAATTATATGCTACCTAATTTGTATTTATTCCTTATATTCGTATTTTATCACATTGATCATCAGAATAAAATAATATTTTATTCTTAGAATAGAGAACATTTATTTAACAAACACAGTAAAAAATAATAAAAGCAAAATAATAAGTGTGTTGATGGCAGGTGTACCTACACTATCTTAGTGAACAGACTATATTATATAGTAAAATATATTGTCAGTGTCATTGACAGCTGTCATATTGAATGTAAACGTATAGAGTTTTAGATTATTTTTGTAAAAATGCATGCCCTATGAAGTATTTTTGAAGAAGACTAATGTACGGTCAATTTTAAAATGACTGACAATATGAATTTTACAATTTTAATATATACATAGTGATATAAAGCTATTTTATGTATTACTTATAAATTATCAGAAACTGATGATAGCTGAAGTAATTTTTATCAAGACTCCTTTGTTAGTCTAAGGTTCTTAAGGGAGTCCCAGGTTCAAATCCTTGGTTTAGTCAAAAATCAATGACTGCGTTTTTCCTGTCAAATTTTTTTGATTAGAAGCCTGGAGTTGGTGTTCCAACCCCGTGACTCCGAAAGCACGTAGGCGTTGATCCTGGTGCCTAGTCATTCAAACTCGTAACAGGTTGCCGTCAGTCACATCACACTATTAGAGTGAAGGAATAGAGAGTACACTCGTGCATTATAATCTTGAACCGAAAATCTACACACTAGTGTGTGAAAATACACTTAACATGAGTCTGTCCTATTTAAGAGGGTGATTGCTGCTGCCTGTCGCTGGGCCAGGTATTTTACATCTCACTGTAGATGGTTATACCGACGTCTGTCGGAAACTATAAGGTTTTCTTAAATTTCCCATAGTCGCTTCTTACAACAAACACAAGATGATGGCTTTTACATCGTCCATATACTGCAACTTCTCAGCATGTCCTCCACGAGAATACTCTCACGATAACGTTTGTCCGATCTAAAAACAAAATAGACGATTAAATTATATAAAAGCAATAAATTAGATTAGAAATCTGTAAACCAAACTGTGGGTATTCCTTAAAGAATTAAAAAAGTTAAAAAAGAATACAGGCAGACAGATAGATACAGAGGCATTGTTTTGTGTATATATATACACTAGAAACCGATAAACTTTTAGTTAAAACGCAACTTTTCAATAATGTTGACACTGTAAGCATCTGCGTAACAAATAAGTTTACTTCAGCACGGAATAAATAATAGTACTACGTAACCGTAGACAGAGAAACCTATAGACTAATGATTAGCGTTGCCTCGAGTGATAAAGGACGATAACGTAGTTTTAGGTTATACGATAATCTTTATGACTTTTAAACATATTTAGATAAAAAATTTAATTGTTCTAAGAACTAAACTGAACAAGATTTACCAATCTTAAGCTCACAAAACACTTTTTCACCTAAACCAACTTGTTAACTCCTTAGATCGCTACGAACTGTCAATGTTGTTTAGCAAAGTATAGTTTGCTAAACAAAAAAACCGGCACGGAGAAAGGGACAAACAATCACACCGCTCTGTCTCATTTCTATTGAAGACGTGTGCGGATGCGAAAGAAGGCGTCAATTTGTCTACAGGTTTCTCTGTCTACGTACGTAACAGTCAGAGCTATCGCTATCTGGTAAATGTAATATTAGCCATTAAGTCTTCAGTTTCGCGAGGAGGTTAACGCACCTATTACCTGCATGATGTTCGATAAAATACGAACATTTAACCTCGTAAGGCCCAAGTGATTTTAGGCTAGGAGAAGAACACCCAATGTGCAATAAAATGTACACTATCTAGTCTCATAGTTCCGGCCCACGCACGTTTGGCGATTGTTCTATGTGTTAGGTACTGAAGGAAGAAATACAATGTGACTATTTTCACCCTTCTAGCTTTGGTTCATTTAAATGTACACTGGGCGTTAAATTGTTCTTAAATTAAAAATGAAATATAAATTATAAAGATAATTTTTATTACTGTTGGCAAGGCACAACTGGATGAGATAAAACTATCATCAAATTTTTTACTTATGATCTAGTTATTAAAAATTGAACGTTAAATGAGATCAATCATCAGGTGCCGTAAACATCAGGCACCTTTTCACATAAAAATCTAAGGAAAATAACAGTATTCTGAGTAATGTTTAGTTTTGGACCTAAAATAATCTTCACAATATAGCATGAATTTGCACAAATTACGCAAGTTCCAACGCTTAATTTTAGTTGTGAAAGTCCCTGTAGCAGTTTCTGACTTTCGTTAGGCAAAGGTGAACTTTGCAGGCCTCGCATTTGAACAGCGTTCTCTTATAATGACAATGTCGACATCTACCCACCTTTTCCGCCATATAGGGTAAATGTTTAGCTCCAGTTGTTCGAAACTTATCATTGGGTACAGGAACTGATTTGCTTCCTGTGCGTCTTACTAGAGGTCGGTTATCCTCTTCTGAGTCAGTAGCTTCTGTGTTAGTATCACAGTAGGCCTCAATGAAATATTCACCCAGCTCCATTTTGAAAGCTCGTAGTTGCTGAATTTTTTTTAAAGGAACCAAAGCTTTCAATTGATCTTGTTTGTACTGTATCCAGGAGTTGCTTATAGCTAAATCAACCATTGAGGCGAAAAAACGTTGTGTCCACTTTCGGGTCCTATAGCGATAGGGACATACAGCCAAAAGACGGTCGGCAAGATCGACTCCTCCCATTTTCTGGTTGTATTGTCTCACTACCCTGGGGCGTGGTACGGTCACATAAACTTTAGTTTTCTTGCACCAGCGTCGACACTCGTCAGATTCGATGTTCGCTTCAACAGATGATAAAAACAAAACAGGTTTATTATCGTACCATTTCGTAAAAGCTATATTGTCATCATTTCGTACAATCACTTGGCTGCTTCCTCGCCCTTGTTTCTTAAATTCTGTGTCATTTGTCAGTAAATGGCGCACATCAGCAGGAATCCGATTTTTCATAACAGTTCCAGTCGCACGAATTCCGTTTTTTTTAAAGCTCGTCCAACAATTTCTCCGACGTAAAATACCTGTCAAAGTATATAACATGACCGGGAACCAAATCTTCTGTCAGCGTAAGAACCGCCTTTTCTTCTAAACCAAACGTGGTATTCTCATACCCAGGATAGGTGGTTGGGCCTTGATATAAGTGAAAGTCACAAACAGTACCATCCGGGTTTGCTAAAACAAACAAGCCTTTAAGCCGACTGGATTAGGCTTACCCGGACAGTACTGCTTAATTGCACAGGACCCAGTAAATGGAATGATCATTTTGTCTAAAGACAGACATTGGCCTTTCTCTTGTTTGTGGCATCCAGCTCGTATGATTTCGATTAGAGGGCGCATCTTCCACAATTTATCCCTAGCTCCCATCTCTGGCGTAACATCATGGTCGAAAACCAATTTCAAAGAGTTTCTCAGCAAGAAAAATCGGTTCCTGGACACGTTATCGGCTATAATTGTCACCCTCCAATTTTTTCCCCGTACATCCTTAGTTTTGGATAATTGACTGCTGCCATAATTAATGTTATGCCCAAGTAGATATACAGTTCCTCAGAAGTTAGAAACAAGCTACGTCCTGATTTTTCGATGGCAGTCTGATTAGACTTTCTCTGTATGAGATCAATGAGCTCATCATCTATGTATTGCTTCAAGTAATCAGTTTTGGTAAACCCTTCCGTGTCTTTAACCAGATAAGCAGGCTGAATCATTTGGGGGAAACGAGGGTTAAACTCTTTCACACTCCATGTTCCGCTATTAGGACAGTCTTCATTAACACCGCTTTCTTCATCCTCATTTTCCTGACCTCTTCTTGTTCCAAGTCTGCCTATGACTACGTCTATTTCCTCTATTTCTTGTACCACGTCCTCTTCCGATCCCTGTTCCGCGTCCTCTACCAACTCCTGTTCTGCGTCCCCTTCCTCGCCTGGTTGCATGGCCTCTTCCACGTACTAAACGTTCTTCACTTGAAATATTACTTTCAGCTTCTGAACTACTACTTTCGGTGACATTATTATCACATTCAATCGAACTTGCAGTAGGGAATTGAAACTCTGGGTCACCGACATCTTCGTCCGACGGTACGAAATCTTCTATTTCAGAGTTATCAAGCAGATCTTCTATTTCTTTATCCCGGAGGAGTACTAAAAATAATTATTTTAATTAATTGACTAACTCAAAACAGTAACACCCAATGTGCAATAAAATGAACACTATTTTACAATTCAAGATAAAAACGAGAATATGTAAGACTGCCTAAAAATACCTACAATTCCTAAAAATATACAAATTTACCCATGTTTTGTCATAATTTCAATATGAGAAATCATAGGATTTTACAATTTAATCAAGATTTAAACTCACCTGGCTGTTGAATCCTCGGCATGGTGAAAGAAAATGGCCGATTTCGGCCACTTGACATATACTGCTGTCAAAATTTCATCCACACTAGTTGACCAACGACAATATTCAAACGAGTTTGACTTTAGCGCGAAAATTTAAAAATATAACCATGAATATTTAAGTGTACATCGCATTGTACAGTGGGCCTTTCTGAGAAAATTTTAATTTATATTCGGGGCCGGAATGTAAATAGTGTAAATGTACAACGTAATGTGCATTGGGCCTTACGAGGTTAAAACCTTGGACACGTGTCTAATTTATTTATTTGTATATTACCTTTATAAATACCCTGTGTAGTCATTTTTATGTATATTTTTGTTTTAATAAATTTACGAATTAATTTTGTTTTTAATTTTTTTTTAATATGCAATGTGATAGTAGATTACAGCCTCTATAGAACCAATTGATGGGTTTCACTCTTTTTCTGTGAAGGTTTTGGAGATCATTCGCTGTAAAAACTATGAGATCAGTACACTATATCTTTACCCAGGGACAGGTAAAATTAAGTATTATATGTGGTAGAGCCACGCTGCAGCTATATTATGTTTGTATGCGCGAATGATACGGCTCAACCGGGGAAAGACCACGCTCTCACAGAATAAAAGCGTGAAATAGCAGCTTAATGCTCCTGTGTTTCGTATGGTGAGTGTAAAGAACTGTAGACCCTTTTACTGGATACGTGGTATTCCATCTTAGTTTTCAGGGATTCATGGTAACTATGGTCATTGGAGTCTTCCACTACAAAGGATTTGCCTAAGCTGTCACAATTCGCAGGCTTAGACACAGTACTAAATTTGAGCACGTTTGTCGCTAACTATGGTACTATATTTCATTTCCTTTTTTAATACAAATGTTATCTCCACCATGATTTTTTCCTGTATCGTGGAAGCAGTTTACATACATAAATCGCACAAAGACAAGCATCCGGACCCGGAGCGGAGCTATAATTTGTAGGCCACAAAAAATATTGTTTCATTCGGGACACGAATCTGCGATCCCTTGCGTAACAAACAACTCATTGCTAAGCCACTTCCACCACGGAGCCGTCAACTAGATTTTATTTATTACTTGTGTTCTAATTTTTTACGCTGTTTTCGTCGGTCTTAACCATAATTACTGACATACTAGTCCCGGGAGTAGTTACGTTGTACCAGTTCTGGCGCACTTGTAGAAAGGTTGTACCAGTTCTGGCGCACGACGTTCGTCGACTCACAATCCAAGGTTTTGGCATGCTCTGATCACGAATCTGCGGTCCATTTTTGCGTAGGATGCACGGTTCCGGAGATGTGCAGATCAATTAACTCTTATCTAATTGATATCCGCTGCGAGCCTCAACCGTCATTAGCGCTCCATTGTCCTTATCTACTTATCTATTGTTGATTGACTACCGTCATTATCTATTATTCGTCAGCGTGTGGGTCGGCTTATGCTATTGTATTATACTCCTTTGTTCCTATCTACAACACTAATCTGAATCATCAATAAAACACATTACCTAATTTTGTTAAAATTTTTATTTATAAAATACAAAATCTTATTACTTATTATCTATAAAATAGGAGCGAAACATCTCATCCACTAAAATATCGTTGTACAATGTGTTCTCTGTAAATATACTCGTAAAACTATGCATTGAACATCCCTGAAACTTATATAGCAAATACATTAAGCAATATTCGCCACAAACTGAAGTCCTATCAACATTCCAGTTCCATCTTTTAAACACATTACCTAATTTTGTTAAAATTTTTATTTATGAAATACAAAATCTTATTACTTATTATCTATAAAATAGGAGCGAAACATCTCATCCACTAACATATCGTTGTACAATGTGTTCTCTGTAAATATACTCGTAAAACTATGCATTGAACATCCCTGAAACTTATATAGCAAATACATTAAGCAATATTCGCCACAAACTGAATGCATATAAAGCTACCCAATGTGACCCTGGTTTATCATCTGTACCCAAATTGCATATTACCTAGTCAGGTCATAAATTCTATCACATGTTTAATATAAAATAATTGAAACGAGTTTATTCATTATGTAACCATTTATATACCAAAATGAACTTAACAAAACATAGATTCTTATGACACTATAGTTTATTCAAAATGACCTCCATGATTTTGAATACAGGCCTTCAATCTGCGCGGCCAGTCGTCTATCTCACCACGAACGAGGTCCATGTCATATCGGCGGCTGCCTTAATTAAAGATGTCTTGAGTGACTCGAAATTGGGACGAGGCTTTGAGTACGCCTTTTCCTCCAAGTGTTACCATATCTTGTAATCTAACGGATTCAAATCTGGACTGGTCTTTGTGTCCGATGAAGTCGATTTCACGCGCCGCCAGCCAGTCTTTTTTTTTTGTTTTTAAAGAACGTTACCTCCACACTAGGTTTTTCTCCTGTATCATGGGGGCAGTTTACAAACACAAATTTCACAAGGACAAACATCCAAACTCGGAACAATTACTTGTAGGTCGTACAAATACTTGTTCCGTGCGGGATTCGAACCCGCGACCCCCAAGCGCAGCCACTCATTGCTAAGCCACTACGCCACGGAGCTGTCAAAAGTCTTGTGTGCTCTTCGCTCTATGAGCTGACACCGAATCTTGTTGGAATACCCAGTGCCTGTTATTGAACATGGTATGAGAAACAGGTTACACAAGGTTCGTCAGGACTGTATTTTGATACACAACTGCATTCGTTTTTAACCTTTCTCACAAAAATGTACCTCTGTTAAGCCCCAATAAGAAACTCCCAACCATACCATGAGCGAGGATGGAAAATGACCTCGTTGGACACGCGGAATACGGTTGCTCGCTTCTTCACTACTGTGTGCGTACACCTTATCATTTTGTTTGTTGTAGCTCTCTTCTACGGTAAAAATTTTTTTATCCGAAAAAAGAATTTCCCGATATTTTTTTTCCCGCGTACCGCTTCACCAAAGCGCGGCATCTCTTCAGTCTCAGATCCATTAGACGAGCATTCAAACGATGTCCTGTTTTTCTTCGATATGCTCGAAGCCCTAAGTCTTCATTTAACGCCGTGGTTCTGCTTAACCCCATCTGAAGGGCCAACAGTTTCTGCTTACGTTTGGGATTTCTTTGAATTCGCACCTTTACAGCTTTTATCACTGCTGGAGTCCTAACAAATCGAGGGCGACCACTTCTTGACCTGTCATCTACACTAGAGTCTTCATTGTATCGTTTGATGGTACGATAAACGAATCTTTTGGTTATATTCAAATTTTTCAGTATATCAAAAAATTTAATTGGCGCGTAATCGCAACTGCAACACGGTCTTTTTTAAGCGTCCACTCCATATGTAAAAATGAGTAAAATTCTAAAAAGTATATAGTTTTATTTTCATGAACAATTCGAATTCAATAAACTTTTTTGTGGCCAGCATTCTAAAAGAAAAGTTTTTACTGTGTGACAATACTTATGACCTGACTAGGTATATACGTTGGTACGTGGGTGTACATGGGCAGTCTGTTAGCAGCATAAACATTATTTTCTAGACTGGGGTGAATCTTTTTCAGATGTTGTTGTACATCTAGTGTATCCATGATATTACTGCTATTAGTAGATTACTACAGTACAATCTACTCAATGACTAACATAGGAATGATCAATTATGTGATTTCTAAATATTAAATTGCATTTTTTCTGTTATACAAAACGTATTTGAGTCATCAATACACTGAATAAGACGCAACACGAAGAATGTGAGATAAGGTTGTTGACGCATAAAGTTATTATCAATTCTACTGTAGAAATTCTTTAGATTAGAATTATTACTTACTGGTACTATATAAGACCAAGCAACTGCAGTCATGGAGTTAGTGTATGGTCGTTTGACCGCAGTGTATCTATCAATAATACATTTGCGTTACTTCAACGCATCAAAGGCCATAGATGTAAGTGTTTAATCTATTGACAAACTTACTTTTCTTTCTGTTATTTTTTTACGTGTGTATGATTTTGAACGACAGTCCTGTTGGTCTAGTAGTTAGTGACCCTGACTGTTATGCCGGAAGTCGTGGGTTCGATTCCCACCCAGGACAAATGTTTGTGTGATGAGCACGATCATTTGTTCTGTGTCTGAGTGTAATTTATCTATAATATTTATGTATTTAGAAATATATAAGTATGTTTATCAGTTGTCTAGTACCCATAACACAAGCTCTGCTTAGCTTGGGACTAGATGGCGTTGTGTGATAGTTGTGGAATATTATTATTATTATTATTTAGTGTTAACAAATTATATTTAAATATTTTGTGTGTGTATATGATTAAGCCGTGGTAGCTCAGATGGTTAGCGCAAGCTGTAAATTTTACAGTACGTAACGCGGGTTCGATCCCCGCCGACACCAATTAAATTGTTAATTGCAATTTTAAGTGTTTATTCTATTGACACACTTACTTTTCTTTCTATTTTCTTACGTGTGTATGATTTAGTGTTAACAAATTATATTTAAATATTGTGTGTGTATATGATTAAGCCGTGGTAGCTCAGATGG